CATATATTTGACAAATATACACATATATATTTATATATGTGTGTGTGTGTGTGTATCTATATCTATACGTATATATATCCCTTTCTATGTTCATCTCTATATCTATTACTATATATTTCTATATATATATATATATACATAAATCCATATTATATATATGTATATATATATATACATAAATCCATATATATATATATATTTATATATATGTATTTATCCGTATATGTATATATATTATGTATGTATGCATGTATATATATATGTATATATATACAACATATATATATATATATATGTGTGTGTGTGTGTATGTATATATAAATTGAATGTATATATATATATATATAAATATGTGTATATATGTATATGTATATATATACAAGTATATAAATTTATATATATATAATATATAATATACACACACATACATATGTATATATATATATATGTGTGTGTGTGTGTATATGTATCTATATATTTGTATCTATATATGTATATCTGTATATTCGTGTCCGTAAATTTGTTCTAACTTTCCTTTTAATATGCGGATTTGCTTGAACGTGTTTAGGTCTGTGTACGTCTAAATGTATCGGACACACACAGTCACTTGTACTTGTATATTGTGTTACCTGTATACAGTTTTATGTAAATATTGGGTTTTATAAGCGACTATAGTCCAATTTGACATCCTTACTCATTTGTAAGGTAGAAATGAGACACATGCATACCTGCAAGTATGTTACTGCTGTAAGAATACACGTGTATGTATGCACACACAAATGTACTCAACAAGATATATTAATAAATATACATAAATACTGGATCTCTGCCCACAAATAGTTCTTAAACGATTATATGAATGCCGACATTTATGATGAGAGTTTTCAGCTCTCGTATAATATTATTTATATTGTTTGTTCTCTGAAAATGGCTAGTGGATCTCATTTTTTTACATTACAACTGAAAACAACTAGAATGCTACATATTCGCTGCTTGAGTAAACTACGACATCATGTATTAATTAACAATAAATAAATTGCATGCACGTATGTCATAGTTTTACTATTTTGTTTCGGTCTTGATATGTTGTGTTCATTGGGTTCTGCAACAGACAGTTGGATCAAATAGTGATTCGCACATCATCCCAGCATCACCGATGCCTGCAGTCTGCGACTAAGTTAGTATACAATACCTTCATCAATCATGTCTACTGACCACACCATGGAGCCTCGCAGGCAATTGTCCATAGCAAACGCTTTCTTCAAGCTGAAGGTATCTGCACTGTCGTATGCAATCCATTCTCTATCCTTAACGAGGATCATAGAACCAGTATCTGCGTCAAATGTCACACTATCGTATGACTTACTCTGGATGATGGCCTCGATCTCGAAGTGACCCTGGAAACCAGCCACTCTAGTGCATTCGCCGGGTGCACCGGCAGATTCAAACTCACATCCGACCTCGATACAGGAGTTGTTCAAAAGGGTGTATGTTCTCCCGTATGCGGCAAGACCTAGAACTAACTTATGTGGGGCTACTCCGTTTTTCCAAAACATTTTAAAGTTTTCTTCGATCTCGGCCATGTTGGTGTGAGGTATAATTTTAGCTCCCATTGTAGGGATTACACCATCCCAAACACCGTGTAGGTCGTAGCTCATCACATTAAAGAAATCAAGTTGGTATTGCAGAGCGTTGATATCGAAGTGACGCAAATACCAGTTTGACAGTGGCACAGCCATTGTGATAGAGAATTCTTTACCGCTGGCAACAAACGCACTGCGCATTTCTGTAATCAATGCGACGTAGTTTGCGTAATCACCCTCGTTACCTCCACGATCGGGTGCCCCGGGGTATTCCCAATCCAAATCGATACCATCGAAATTGTATCTCTCCAAGAAATCAACAGCAGATTGAATAAATACAGCACGCGACGCCGTGTTGTTAGTCATATCCGTAAACCGATGCTGGGTTGGCTTATCGTTAAAAGCCCAACCACCAACGGCTATCAGACACCTAAGTGCTGGTGAAGTTACCTTGAGATCAGTAAACTCTTTGAAAAGCGGCTCATCAGTAGGCGCAGCTGCTTCGATTTTAAAATCGATACTGACGTGCGCAAAAGAAAATACCAAGTGGGTGTAATCACCGGCGATAGATGCCAGACTTACAGGGGGTTTGGGGCGGCACTCTCGCGCTGTAGCCCACGACGCGTAGTATCCCAGACGGACCTGTGGTGCGGTACCATCACATGCAGGTGGGCTGGGACGATACTGGCAATCAGAAATACAATCAACATTGCAATAATCCTCGGTCCATCCACAGAAACCCCATTGACTGCAACATGCGTTTAGGGGGCAGACGACTGTGGTATTACACTCGGCATCTTTGTTATCTTCTTTAAGAAAGTCACATACGATACCATCGAAACACTTCAGCTCTGGGTCTATACAATCTGCATGAATCCCATTTCTGCAGGGAAGCGAACACTGACCAGCAGTTGTGCTATTTGTGCCACAATATGACCCAGTTGGCACACGGTCCACATCATCAATACCTGATCCGCATTCTACAGATCGAAAACAGAATTCCCCTGCTGGACATTCGCTGTCAATACCACCCGGACAACTAATCTCACACTTCGTGGAGTCTGCGTAGGTACTGCCGCATTGATTGCCTGTGCTTTGTACAGTTGACCCTAAAACGGACATGGTGGCGAGGACTAGTTTGATAGATAGGCTATTCATTTCGGTGAAGGCCAGTGGCTATCGGGAAAAACACACTATTGTACAAAGTTCGTTTAGTGTGGTTTGTTTGGTAGCCGGCCGGGCCCAATTTATACCAATACTCTGAGTCTGGAGTTTGGAGTCTCAGTCTGGACTCTGGACTCGTGTCTACTGTCTCACTCCTGGCTGAGACAAATGATATTCGCCAAAGCGTTTTTTTTTACGAACAATTGATTTGTATTTTTTTTCTCAACAAAAACACATGGTTTAGCTATAACCGCTGCATCTAGCGTCCCCGCCAGTTTTTCACTACGTAGGCGTTATTCCACCTAAAGACTACCAACAAAGCATAATCGAAGCGAAAGACATATCTAAGATATTCCAGCGAAAGATGAACATCGGTAGTTGTGTTGATTGGCGTGTACGCCTTATGCGGTAGAAGGTGTAAGTTCGATTCTGATCATGTTTTGATGAACTTCTTTTTCTACTTGGAGCTTCGACCACCTCACTGGCCTATAAATTTTGGCGCGACTTAAAACTATAGTGTGTGTCGCATTGTTTTGAAAAAAACCAGCTACAACAGTCATCTACGGGTATTTTTTGTTTTTGGGTGAGAACGCAATATTGTGTTTCTGCTCGTGTCTCGCGCACAAATGTCTCTATCTCGGCCGCTACTGAACCGATTAGGCCCAGATTAAAGGTCAAGCGCACCAATAGCGCCGCCTGTGCAAAAAACCTGCCGGGGCGATTTGTGCACAAAAGAACCGCAGTTTTAGCTAAATCCGGTGTTTTAAATATTAAAAACAAATACTGTAGATTGTAGAAAATATAATATTTTGTTTACTTTATCAAAAAAAACCCAAACTGTATATTACAGAAGGCCATGTCAGAAGGCTATAAAAAAAATGTTTAAAAAAAATCTGAAAATATATTATGAAAGAATTTTTTGTTTTTTCACAAAAACCACTCATGGCCGTCTCTGCAACTTGGAAAGTTGGAAGTGCATCTGTGCTGGAACTCTGCTGGATAAAGTCTTAAAAAAAATGGGTTGCGGTCAAAGCAATTCGTGGCATTAATTCAATTTTCCCGGTCCAGTCCTATCACTTGTGAGTCCTGACAGAGAGAATTGCCTTTGCATATTTATAAATATTAGAACAAAAAACCCAATAGCCGACAACCAGAGAGCTGTGATTTTTCAATTGCTTTTTTTTTTACAAAATGAAAACAAACCAATAGTTCATAATTATGAAAAGGTTTTATTTTTTATTTTTGTTTTTTGTAAAACAATGTCTGTAAACATATGTATTTATTTAGTACATAATTACATACCCTTTCGTATGTGATACAGTCAAACCTCTTTATATGACCACCTCTTTAAGGTGACCACCTCTTTATATGACCAATTTTTCGTTGGGCCAACCCCCATATATGTGTCAGGTCTATTGTGGCCGGTCCTGACAGCCTGCCCTTGGAGGTCCGATTATTGTCAGCACTGAGCACTGATTGAGTTAGAATTTTAAATTTGTGATGTTCATTGTGCTCCGCCCACGGGGTCAGGGACTCAGGGGTACAGTCTCTCACTTTCGTATATTTGTTATGTAGTGTATTTACATGTGTATATATTTCACCTTTCACCTTAGCTTTTCAGTAGCACGTTCATCCTAAAACATACTGATGGGAGACACTTCTAGTGGTGAACAATGTTGTGCGAAAGAATGCACTATATCGTACCCAGTGGGTGGTGCACACAAGTGTGCTGCTTGCAATCGAAGTATGCATGCCTTTTGTGGCGTGCATCTCGGTGGGTTTTTTTTTCAAATTCAATCGGTTACTGCCTTTCTACTGATAAATGCCAGCCACCGGAGGACAAGTCAGATCAGATAACTACTGAATCAGATACCATGCAGGAAGACGACGTGGCACAAGTTACGCCTAAGCAGTATGCATTGTCTAATGTGAATGGATCATCTAGTATAATGATGAATAAGCTCACTGAAAGGAAGAAGACATACCCCCAGACAGTATTATCTAAAGTAAAGGACAGAACATTTACGAGGGTCAATCTGACAGATAAAGACAAAAGAATTATCGTGCGCGCAATCAAGAAAGTGGGATACAGCTTGGAGAAGTCCTGGAAAGAGAACTATCGTAAGGATTTAGTCAAAGAAGCCGTGCGAGCTGCGCGTGAATCATTCGGTGTGAGTATGAAAACAAAACGAAGGTTGTGTAAATAAACAGAAGTTTTCCACAAGAGTAGAAATATTGAAATATAGCATTTTTGAGTGATAATGCGCCGGAATAGCTCCTGGTCTGTTTATAGGTCAGACCCCGAACCTGACAGTAGAACCTGACCCAAACTTGACCACCTCTTTATATGACCAATTTTTGACCAAAAACTGGCATTGGTCATACAAAGAGATTTGACTGTACTGTAAATATGAAATATATAGGTGCATTTGACAGGTCACTCAGATGACAGTCGTGCTCAGGTGAAAGACCGCGGATATAAATTTAGGTGCAAATTTATAACAACAATTTATTATTATTAATAACTAATATTGATAAACTGTCCTGTGCGTGACCAGTGATGCGGCATCATTTATAAATACTGATTACATAGCATACAAACTTTTTAGTGTTTTTAAAAAAAACGCAAAGTCGAAATATTTTTTAACATTTATTTTATATTTATAAGATTATGTAAAGTAAATCTATTGCATTTACACTTGTTGTCCAATCACAATAATATTATTTTAGTTCAAGATCCAAGAGGGTTTACTATAATTCTGTTTTGTTATCAATTGTAAAATTTGGATTTTGTTTAGTATGTATAGAAATTATCTGAAATTGTCAAACACTATCTTGATTTTTATTAGACGTATAAACCGATAACCGAAACGAGTTTCTATTTTTTAATAAATTTTCTTTCTGCTGGGGCATGTATTCTTTTATTGTCTATTATTTATGTATTGTTGCTCTTTTAAATAACAAAATAAAAACAATACGAAAAAAAAATTCAAAAAGTATTGTGTCACACCAATTTGATAAATTTAATTTTGCAAAGGCTTTTAGGGATTTTATGTTTTCTAAAAACTAGATTTTTTTAGCCAAAGACGTGACTCCGAAACACTTCGTTTGACTACGTAGACTGATCACTGTGATCAGTGATAAGTGATAACTGAATGAAACTCTGAAGTCTGAACTCTGACGTCTGTACTCTAAATTCCAAAATATAGAAATTCATCCTATATCCAGTAACATTTAAACAAAAAGCAAACAACAATAAAACATTCTGCGTGTCTATTAGTCAACTAGATTTTAAATTTATATCAGGTGCGGAACTTTTCGAAAATCGGTTTTCTAAAACCAACTGACATATATTTGACATCAAAATTCAACAATCGGCGGCGTCACGTATAAACTCTTTTTTTTTATATAGTCCTAAGGACTTTAGTCTGTTGTGGTATATTTATTTTTAATCTCACATGATTTTTCTTTTTAAATATTTAGATCAAAAATAAAGCCTGGACGGTGAAAAAGTCGGCCTGTTATGAAACATTGAAAATATGTATTATATATTTTAATATTTTTTTTAAATATACAATTAAGAAAAGCATTGAACTTTAATACATAAAATAAATACAACAGCGTTTGTAGCCTTCTTCTAAATACATAAATCAAGATAATTGCCTGTTCCATTTAAGAGGCTGACTATGACAAGAGAAGGCTATGCTATAAAAATTAAAATATATTGAGACAATACATAATACATAGGTTTATATCATAGCCTTCTAAAAAACAATTATAAAAAAAGTATTTGAGGGCGTTCTTTTTTTTACACAACAAAACATAACATAAATGCCAAAGAAGACTTGAAATGATCGCGTGTGAGGGTATTTGTCGTCTAGAGAAGAAGAATAGAAATAGAACTTAAAACATAGGGGATCGAACTAAATATCGCCCTTACGGCTTACAGTCGTTTCAATATATTTACCGGTGATACTAACTAGTATAGTTCGGTACATATGACATTATAAATAAATAAATAAATATTTATGTTTTTAATAAAACAAAACAAATCAAACAAATCAAAAAATAAAACAAAATAAAATAAATGGGATGTTGCGGTTCTAAAAAAAGGGTAGTCGTTATGGAAACCGACCGAACAGATGACGATACGACACCTCTGTGATTTTATGGATGCCCTTCTAAATAATAAACTCGTTGCGCAATCATGCCAACAAGTTAAAAACTGGTATATATTCGGGGAATAATATTTTGCATACGTAAATACGTAGTGAGTGTTACATGTATAATGTACAAAGTACTTTTCAGGTACCTATGTACAAAGTACTTTTCAGGTACCAATGTACAAAGTACTTTTCAGGTACCAATGTACAAAGTACTTTTCAGGTACCAATGTACAAGATACTTTTAAATATCAAGTGTGCACGTCGATGCACTGGTTTTTATTACGTACTCTCGTAAATTCATGGCATGTGTGCCTTTCAATGTATAACTATCGATATATTTCTGTAGTAGATGCAGTTTTCATTATGTGTGCATTTGCTGAGTACTTCAGTTCTTTGGAAGTCTGTCGGAATTTTCAGTGTACAGATGAGAAATGGTAGGGCTATAGTATGTATGTACATATAAATGTATATATATATATTTATATATAAATATATATATATATATACTCATATATATATATATATTAACTATATAATTATAAATATATTTATATATCTAACATATTGTATATATATACAATATATGTAGATATATATATATATATATATATAAATATATTTACAATTACATATATATATATATACATATATGTATATAATTATAAATATATCCCTATGCATATATATATATATATATATCTATATATATATATATATTTGGATATATACATATATGTATATATTTATCTATATTTATATATATATATATATATATATATATACATATATATATTATTTGTGTGTATATATAAAAGTACATACTTATATTATATATATATCTATATATTCATATCTGTATCTATCTATATCTGTTTTCCTATATATATATATATATGTGTGTGTGTGTATATGCAAGTGTATGTGCATATATATATATATATATATATATTATCATAAATTTATATATATATATATATATATATTATTTATATATATATATATTATTTTATATTTATATTTATATTTATATATATATAGATATTATTCTACATATATAAGTATATATATATATATTTATGTATGTATATATATATGTATGTATATATATATATGTATGGATATATGTATATAGATTTAAATGTGTGTATGTGTATATAGATTTAGATCTATATGTATGTATAAAAATAATGTACATATTAATATTTTATATATATATTGATGAAATGTATAACATATATATATATATGTATATATACATATATCTATATATTGTATATATATATATATATATATATCTAC